TGTAGATGAATGGGAAATGAAGAAATGGCTGGCCTGGGTACCCTCCTCAAATGGACGCTTGGAGAGAAGCTCAGAACTCCAGCATCCAGTCAGAGAGAGGGAGGTTCAGCAACGGATACTGACAAAGTGTGAGCTGAAGGATTTTATTATGTTTACTTTGTCAAAATATTTTCGAGGCACCCTGTTTCCCACAGCTAAGGCCCAGTAAGCAAGCTGTTCCCTGAGCTTGGCATAACAACAATCCTTTGCACTCTGGACGATCTCATCCTCTGGCAAAGCATATTGTTTTGACCAAGCACCAGGCGTTGGCTGCCCGTTATTGCCCAGGGACCTGAGAGCCATCCATCACCTTGCTTGACTTACTCACAATCCCTGTTCCTTGTAGCAACTAAGTGAACCAAACCAGGTACTGTACCCCGCTGCTCCCACAGAACCCAGGAACATGTGCATTGTCTATACGTGAGCCTTCCATGGGAACAGCTACTCAAGACCCGAGAATGATTATGTCATAGTCCAGCCCGCTTCCATATATGGGCATTGCCTATACCCCAACCAACATGTTAAGCCCTCCTTCTCAGGAGGGGATGCTTCCTTGCTTCCCAGTCATTTTCCTCACTGAAATAAAGTATACTGCTACTTTGTGTCCTGACACACCTGACTCTAGCCTGCTCCATTCAGCTCTGCCATTCTCAGGTTAGAGACCAGTCCCGTCTGCACTGCATTCAAAATTCTGTTGACAACTTATAATTGCATCCACTCAAGTAGAAGGTAAGCTTTTTAAGGACAGGGGCTGGTTTTCGTTTTTGTTTTTGAATCCTTAGAACCTAGTGTCTTGTACTTTAGAATGTGTTTTGGTATATACCTGCATGTGGAAAATCTGCCCTCAAATGTAATTCTTCCAAAATTTATTGTTCTACTATGCCCAAAGGGCTATAAAACTGTGCATACCTTTTGATCCAGCAATACCACTTCTAGGTCTGCATCCCAAAGAGATCATACAAATGGGAAAAGCACACGTGTTCAAAAATATTTATAGCAGCTCTTTTTATGGTGGCCAAGAATTGGAAATTGAGGGGATGCCCATCAATTGGAGAACGGCTGAGCAAGTTGTGGTATATGAATGTAATGGAACACTATTGTACTGTAAGAAATAATGAGCAGGCAGACTTCAGAAAAATCTGGAAAGACTTACATGAACTGATGCTGAGTGAAGTGAGCAGAACCAGAAGAACATTGTACACAGTAACAGCCACGTTATGTGATGACTGACCCTGATAGACTTAGCTCTTCTCAGCAATGCAAGGATCTAAGACAACTCCAAAAGACTCACAATGGAAAATGCTATCTGTACTAGCCGCGTGCCGACCTTCTGCCGGCCGCGCGCCGGTACCCTCTCCTCCTATAAGGAGCAGGCTACCAGAGTCATACTCACTTCCGAGTCTTCGGTCCTCAACTGGATAAACACACAGAGACGAGCCATCGGGAGGCGCCAACACCAGAACTTTATTCAGAGGCCATCACAGCAAGCCATCATAGCAAGCCCAAGCAGCAAGGCCAGAGCAACAGAACAGGAGCCAAGAGAGAGCGCGTGATCTGACCACGCTTGTTCCTAAATACCTACCTAGCCCCTCCTCCCCAGCCCGCATACTAGCCAATGATTGTAGGGTCAGATACCGGAAGGGGCTGTCTGAGTTTAGCACACCAAGGGGGAGTGACGTAGGAGGCTAGGACCGGATACAGGGAGGAGGCATCTGGGATTAGCGCATAGACAGAGTACGTGACCTAGGAAGTCAGACTCAGATACTGGGAGGAGGGGTCTGGGTCAGTGCTGCACAAAGGGACCCAGGAAGTCAGGAAGGTCACAAGAGGCGTCTGGGGATGACGTTGCATATAGGGAGGGGACTAAGCAAAGGGAACTCAGTCCTCTGCCGTCCCACTCCCACGTGGCACCGCCCCTTGCCTCAGGAGCACAAGCTCCAGCTACTTCCTTGCACCCAGCTTATCTCACATAGCACTGCCCACTGCCTCAGGGCTTCTCCGTATCCAGCCCATCCCAGTTCACCACAACTCTGCCTACCACAGCCCCTGCCTCGACTTCCAAAATACCCAGATCCTACCCTACTCTTGCCACAGCGCTCAACCTGGTAGCTGCCAACATCAGACAGTCCCTCACAGCTATCCACATCCAGAGAAAGAGCTGTGGAGTCTGAATGCAGATCGAAACATACTATTTGACCTCTTTTTTTCTTTTGTTGTTTTTTGTTTCTTCTTTCTCGTTATTCCTCCCATTGGTTCTAATACTTTTTTTACAACATGATTAATGTGAAAATATGTTTAATATGAATGTATAAGTAGAGCCTATATCAGATGGCATGCTGTCTTGGGGAGGGAGGAGGGGAGGGAAGGGAAGAAAATTGAAAACTCAAAAGCTTATGGAAGTGAATGTTGAAAACTAAAAATAAATTAATTAAAAAATTTATTGTTCTAAAATGGGGTTCTTCATCTTTTCTTGTGTTGTGGACCCCTTTGGCACTCTGGTGAAGCCTAAGAACCCCTTCTCAGAATAATGCTTTTAAATGAATATATATATATATATATATATATATATGTATATGTATATAGGATTACAAAGGAAACCAATGCTGTTATATATATAAACAAAATACTGTTATTATGTATATATATATATATATATATATACGTATGTATAAGTTTATGGACCAGAATTTAGAACCTCTGTTAAAGGATTCCTGCGGCACTGAGAGATTAGGTGATTTGCCTGTGGTTCCACAGTTAGTACACATACCATACACAGTTTGTTCCCAAGATTTCCAAGGTAAGAGAAGCAGAGACCAGTAAGTGATCAAACCAGGGTTCAAATACAGCTCTTTGGACTTCCTATTCCACTACTCTTTCCACTATTCCATGTTGAGGAAGGACATGGGTTTGGGGGTCTGTTTCCTTAATGCTTCTCAGACAATTTTACATCTTTCTCAGGGAATTGGAGAGGGAGGTATGGACTATTTTGGCTGAAAGGTAGTGCATAGGATGGGCACTAGGTGGCACCATGGTGCACAGAGTGCTGGGTCTAGAGTCAGAAACACTCATCTTCCTGAATTCAAATCTGGCCTCAGACACTTACCAGCTATGTGATCCTGCACAAGTCACTTAACCTTGTCTACCTCAGTTTACTCATCTGTAAAATGAACTAGAGAAGGAAATGGTAAACAACTCCAGTATTTTTGCCAAGAAAACCCCCAGTGGGGTCACAAAGAGTCGGACACAACTAAAAAATGACTGAACAATAAAGTTCATAGGAGGTAAACATTTTTCCTTTGATTAGCTAGAGAAAAACCAGGACGGATATGGAGATCAGAGTTTGTTGCATAAAATGAGGATAGAGGTTGAATTAGGATGCTAATGATGGTCTGGGAATAAGATTAGAATTAAAATAAACTCTTCTAGTTAAATATTAATGAGCAAGGTCTGCTGTCAGGTTTCTTTGTTTTTAAAGTAGAATGGAAGATTTTGGGGGTTTTTTTGGTCTTTGTACTTAAAGTGTCCTGTACAGTTTTCACATTTATGGAGTTGATTTTTAAAGAACAATCTTCTCTGCGTTATTTAATCTTTGGTCTCTTTTTTTCAATAAAGTAATAGTTTTAATATGAAAGTGAAAATCTATGCATGGTACAGAGGGGAAGCACTGACTCCAGTGTCAGAGGAACTAGGTTCAAATTCCGCCTATGATACTTACCATTCGTGTGACCTTAAGCAAGTCCCTTACCTTCTAGGGCCCCACTCTCCACATTTGTAAAATGAGAGGCTTGAACTAGATGACCCCTGAGGTCTTTTCCAGCTGTAAACCCCAGGATCTTTGCACACTCCGACAGAAGAATACCATCCCCTCCCCCCCATTCTTCAGGTATTTACAGGGCAATGGGATCACAGGATTTTAGAGTCACAGTCCACTTCCCTCATTTTACAGACATGGAGATTGGAGCCACAAAGGGATCTTAGGATTTTAAGACTAGAAGTAGCTTGAATTCATACAGGTACCAAGGGGAAGAGCCAGGACTCAACCTCAGGTTTTCTGACTCCAAAGCCGGGGCTTCCCATTACACCATAAAGCCTTAATGTGACAACTTTGTGACAACCTATCTACCTGTCTTAATACACACACACACACACACACACAAACACACACACACACACACATCCCTTAAGATAGGATTATTGTTCGGTTATTTCAGTTGTGTCAAGTCTTCTTGTCCCCCATTTGGGGTTTTCTTGGCAAAGATACTGGAGTGGTTTGCCATTTCCTTCATTCAAACAGGGTTGAATGATTTGCCCAGGGTCACACAGCTAGTAAGTGTCTGAGGCCAGATTGCTGCTTCTTCAATTGTACTTGTTGGGCTGAGCCCGGGGTGCAGAGTAGCAGAGACTGCACTCACTGCCTACTCTCCTGTTGCCTAAGTTCCTTCCATGAGATAAGAAGTGAAACCATGAAGTAGGGGTGGGGTTGGGGAGAAGGCTCAGCACCCTGCAGTAGACAGGTTCCATCCTATGATTTGGAATATAGGGGAATGGCTCATGAGATTGAAATGTGCTCCTTTTAGCCCAGGAAAGAGGATCCAGAGGTTGTGGGGAAGAGGACAAGAAGTACCCCCCTCTCCTCTCTCTCTCTCTCAATCTCTGTGTCTCTCTGTGTCTTTGTCTCTGTCTCTCTCTCTTCCTTCCACCCCATTTCTTTCTTTCTTTCTTTCTTTCTTTCTTTCTTTCTTTCTTTCTTT